ATTAGAACACAGGCACAGTCACATCGCTTGATACGAATATACCGGGCGTCTTATCTTTTAGGCCACAGAGACTTCAAAATGTCACTTGTTATTCTAACTTTATGATTTGCTAGACTATGTACATTATAAATAAGTACTTATTTATGTGTATTTTAGTTTAGTACATCATTAGTCACGGATTAAAGGTAAATAAAAGACAAATTTTAAAAACATTGAACGCTATATTCATTAATCTAGACACAACATTGAAAATGGCTTAGCTCGATGTTAAATTAAAAACATGTACAATCTTTGTTTTTTTAATTACAATAAAATATAGAAATCGTCACGAAAAAATATATTCGTAAAAGCAATTGTTTTTTTGTTGTTAAACATTCTTCTTGTATTTTGCATTTCTCAACATCAGCGGCATAAGATGATATATTTATGATATCAACTTTTTACGACCATTTTAATAAGATAACATTTATCTATATGTATATCAAAAGAAATCAATTAAGAATCATTTTCTCGTTTGTTTGAGAATTAATTTTCTTTTCTTGTTTAGTAGCTACTGACCAACTTAATGGTGTCAATTACATATTTTTAAAATATCAATAACAAAACAAAAGAGAAAACGTGATGCACAAAACAATCTAAATTTAGGGGAGTCAAATACACTGACTTAATTAAATAATTAGTGAATTTAAATAATCGCTATAAATTTTTACTGAATAAGACAACAAATATTTGTGCGTCTGGTCATCATAAGCTTGTAAACTTGAAATTAAAAAAAAAAAAAATTAAAAAATGATATGTCATTTCAATTTTTTTTTTATATCTTCATAAAAAATATTGATAAACAAATCAAATAACATACTTACTACGTTTAAAATACAATTGTAAGTTTCTTCAATATAATTAAAGCTAACATTGAATTTAAAGCTTGACATCGACTTCATGTACAAAAAAAAAGAACTTAATACATAATGATCCTAAATTAAAAAAAGAAAATGTCGACGCTTGAAAGGCAAACGTGACTAAGCGACAATGCGTGAACTTTACAGTAGACTAATTTAAAGTTGAAATACCTTAAAACAAAATTTATTTTAACGAATCTAGCTGTAGTAGAATCTAGCTAGTATCCGTAGGATTGAAATGATTTTAATAGACCTAGAAATATATTTTTTTTGCGCATCGAATATGGTTATTGCCTATCATTTATATACAAAGCAGTTATTGTCGCTTAGTCACGTTTGCCTTTCGAGCGTCGATGTGTAATGTCAAATTATGAAAATTTTTTGTTAGTAAAGTGACATTTCTAATTTTTACTATATTGTTCTGATACATTACAATGTAGGTTATGTTTTATCGAATTCAATTATAATACCACAATAAATTGTTATATTGTTGATAATTAACAATAACATGTTACCGTAAATTGAATTTTCACAATACAATGTACAATGTTTACAACAAATTATTATAATTTAAAAAATAAAACACATTTTATTCTTAAGCGAAAAATGAAATAAAACTTCTAGAAATCGTCTCAAAGTTGATTTATCGTTTGATTTGACTGACTGTTTTCTCAAATCTATATAGAGGCGAGTCATGTTATTAATGACACTCTAACGTAACATATATATATATTTTTTATTGCTTAGGTGAGTGGACGAGCTCACAGCCCACCTGGTGTTAAGTGGTTACTGGAGCCCATAGACATCTACAACGTAAATGCGCCACCCACCTTGAGATATAAGTTCTAAGGTCTCAATTATAGTTACAACGGCTGCCCCACCCTTAAAACCCGAAACGCATTACTGCTTCACGCAGGATGCGGACTCACAAGAGGTCCTACCACCAGTAGGCAATATCGGGTATTATAAAAGCCTTTATTCTTTAATATTTTAGCTGAACTTTGAAAAACGCTCATTGATTCTAGTTCTAGATTGCTTTAAGCTATGGGCTCGGTCATGGTAATTTCGTATTTAATTTTGTAATGTGTATGCGCGTGTGTTTGTTTTTTTTATTATACAAGCAATCAATAAGCGGCAGCGATAGTGATAGGCAGCGTCTTAGTTGGCATTGTTGATGTCCATGGGCGACGGTAACCACTAACCATCAGGTGGGCCGTATGCTCGTGCAAGGGTAATAAAAAAACAATCAAGCCTAAGAGCATAGTAATTTTTTAGTTTAATATTCTATATTTATGTCTAAAGTCGATGTATTTATGTTCCTTAAAGAGCACGAAACGGCTTGACAGATTTCGGTGAGATTACCAGAAACTGTTCAGATTAGCCTAGCGGATCATAGTGTGGTGTCTCGTTCCAATCGGATCAAAGATAAATCAAAGATCGGCCAGTAAAACGAATCGAGTTTAACTGGTAAATTATAGTCAATTTCAATTATTATACACTGATATGTTAGAGTGTCAAATATTGTATTATTTACCCTACCAGAAAAACGGAATCGGGTTTCACTGATAAATTATAGTCAGTGTCAATAATTGTAACGTTAGAGTGTCAAATATTGTATTATTTACCCTATACCATTATAATGCGATACAGTGCAAGCAACATTCAGATAATAATACATTTAATCGTACAAAATCTAACAATCTAAAATACAGTTTTGGACGCGAACTATCTATTGTGGACCTCAAACATTATTATTGTCCATCAATTGTGCATTCATTTTACAATTAAAATTTTATATTTAATATACATATTATTATTTAAATCACGAATAGTATAACACGTTGTCTGCCGTGTAGGTCACCGGTGCCCTACGCGGCGCGCTGAAGTAACTTTTTTATTTATTTATTTATTTTCTTAGATGGGTGGACGAGCTCACAGCCCACCCGGTGTTAAGTGGTTACTGGAGCCCATAGACATCCACAACGTAAATGCGCCACCCACCTTGAGATATAAGTTCTAAGATCTCAGTATAGTTACAACGGCTGCCCTACCCTTCAGACCGAAACGCATTACTGCTTCGCGGCAGAAATAGGCAGGGCGGTGGTACCTACCCGCGCGGACTCATAAGAGTTCCTACCACCAGTAATGTAACCAGTAACCACTATGTCGATTTATCTCTTTGTTCTTCTTACTAAGGCGCCGGAATATCTGGTAGACTCTGGGAAAGACGAATCCGAAGATACTGACAATGAATCTATTTCTAAGAGACCTAAAAGACTAAAACATACATTATCAAACAAAAGAAGGCAAAGTTAGTAACAGAAATCGACATAATTACTTCAGTGCGCCGCGTAGGGCACCGGTGACCTACACGACAGTGAATGTGTTAACGAAAAAAATGTTTGTTACTGGCTCTATGAGATGGATATGCAGACCAAATTTGAACGATCACAATTTAAAAAAAAAAAAAGGAAACTTGCCCTTTCTTATCGAATGATGAAAGGCTGGTTATATAAGGTGGTGGCTTAAGCGTCATTTTTGCAACATTACAGGAGAATCATATAAAGTTTAAATTTGCAAAAAATATAACAACAGAAAAAAACTTTTTCAGCTATTTGAATGGGGTTATACTTAATTGAAGTTCAATTAAAAACATCGAGTTGCTGATGCTAATATTATAAAGCTGAAGAGTTTGTTTGTTTGAATGCGCTACGAAAAATTCGCGCGATTTGAAATATTCTTTCAGTGTTAGATCGCCCATTTATTGAGCAAGGCTATAGGTTATATAACATCTCGCTAAGACCAATATAAGCGGACCACCAATAAATAATGTTTCAAAATCGGGTTTTTTCCCTTTTTAGAGCTTCAGCTGCGTGCGCTGCAGAAACGATTAAAGTTTCGCTAAAATAATGTTTTACAGAGTTGTTCCCCTTTAAAACATCTAAAAAAAGTCCACGACAGCATATCTCTACATGTTAAGGTTGGCTCACTATAACGTTATTTATGCTGGCCAAATTTGTTCTAAAATAAAGCATTATTTGTGAACTATTCCACGCGGACCAAGTCGCGGGCAAAAGCTAGTACTAAATAGTTATCTTTAATTAATTACAAAGATAAATGTCGCGTATTAATTGAAATGTCGCTTAAGCCATATAGCCTTTCTCCGGTCGTTATAATATTTTGAAATTAATCGTAACAGCAAAACTCCCAATGACTGTTATTGTGACATAAATACTTTGTAATCCTTAATATAATCATGTTCAGTTTTTCATATTTATTTACACGTCCGACTGCTTAAAAACGACGTCAATTGCATTTAAATTGAAAATACATACACGTCAAATAGTTTCAGAGGCGGCAATCTGTTTCAAGCGAAAACACGTTTTTTTTTTTGGCATTTTGAATTAAAAATCAGCAAAATACAGAACTTTTTAAATTCAATCTCTAAATACTTCAAATTCTTGCTTCGCTATATAGCTTTGCAGTTCCTTATAATAACATTGGTCTGACCACAGAGCTCTTACGAATAAACTTGAGTCATTCAGTGAGCCATCCATACCTTTGAGGTTAAACACACCGTGTTGTATAATCTACAATACATTGCTGCACACAAATGGCGGGGACTTTTTGGCGGGAACGCGAGGAGTGAAGTTGTGTGATTTGTTTTATTTTGGTCTATTTAGTGTTTCTTCAGGTTTAAATGTATAATAACGGTGGTTTATTAACTGTTTAGTATCTGTGAAAGTGCACAAACGGGGGAAAATGAAACAAAGCCGCTGGACAGAACTTCTCGGGATCGTCTAAAAAGTCCAGTGAAAAAATCTCAGTAAATTACCACTATTTTACTGAGATTATATTTCATACCACATCATCTCATCTCATTTCACTTCATATTATCGTTTTTCATAAAAATATGAATATAAATTAAAATAAGACTTGACCTAAAGTCTTAGTTACCAAGTCATAAAATCCCTTTAAAAAAAACACAAATCGCGGGTATTCGTGCAGTTCACGCCTCAACAGATTGCCAGACTTTAAAACTTTAATTTATGTACATAGATACGTATAATATCTTTATTACAAAGCTATCTTTAATTTATTTTTTATTTTATAATATTATTGATATTTTGTTATTACAGAAATACAAAAAAACGATATTAAGATATATCTATACGAATTATTTTTGAGTTTATACTCGTCTCACATTGATAAAACAAATTCGGTGTGCATCAAACTTTCCGTTCGTAGTATAATGTAACGTGTCGCAGTAAAGTAGCAATGTAGTAATAATTAGATGTAATAAATCAACAATACCCTTATGAGAATCTCAGTTTGAACCAGCCGACAAATTTTATGTTTTATTTCGCTCACTATAATGTTTGAATTTGTTTATTCTTTTATTGTAACTCATATTATCATCGTATACAAGAAAATAATAAGTATCCGTTAACGATTTTATAAAAACGAATAGGTATGATTATTTTGATTTATTATTTATTAATCATTTCCGGAAACTAAGACAACAATCAAGGTTTTTTTTTAATTTTCACACACGCAATAGTATCAACAATATGTTGCCAGCTTTCGTTAATTATAACATAGCGGGGCATTAATGATTGATCCAAAATGAATTTACGAAAACGACTGGTATTTATGGGTAGCTAGTGACCAAAAAGTATTTTTTTCGGTAACCGCTTCCTTAGATCCTACACAGCAGACGTGGGCGTCTTCAAGTTTAGCGGTCAAAAGGTTAAAATGCCGTTGGCTCTTTATTGTATTAAGCCTTTTGACACGTAGACGAGTCCTAGTTAATTTAGATTCGTCAGACAAAAGTTATTAATAAGACAAAATAATAGGAGAATAGGGTTTACTTTTTAATTTTGTTTATTAATTAGATGAGAATTTGCGTCCATATGTATAACTTCCAAATTAATTATTACATTTAAGTCATAAACTATACATAAGTATTTATATCAATTTGTTTCACGTTACATTGAATTTTATGTGAAACTGTAAATATATTCACCCCACGATACCTATCTAAGACGATTCATTAGTTCGTCACCATCCGATTCTATATTTTTCTTATTATCACAGGCTTCACGATCCAACCCTGGGGTCATTGATACACTGCATCTTACCAAAAAAAAAAAAAAAACATTAAACTATCCAAATTAATATGAAACTTTCCAACGCTCACAACGAATTCAAAACAATATAATTTTACGTAAATATTTCTTTATTTTATCACTTTACATACTTTTAGTTAATACACTATAATATATTTGTTTAGTTAAAATACAACAGTTCTTTTGCTTCCATAATATAGAGTCGGCAACACATTTTAACACCGAACCATTGTCGGGCAATGATGGGTAAAGTCATTTTTTCTGTGACCGTTCGAAGGTATCTTGGAAGACCAGTTCTTGTTTTCACTTAAACAAGACTGTTGGTTATTGCGACGGGTTTCGACTTTATAGATCTTCGACGTCGAATTGTACCCCAGCTTGAGTTAAGATGGCGCAGTTTGCGCGGCAGATGCTGGGGGTTGTGGTCTAGCAGTCGTGCGGCCACCGGGAGGGGTGGCCGGCGGCAGATCACATCACACAGCAGCTCTTCGCTCTGCCCTTGAGCTCGGCTTTGAGGTCACGTTTGCTTTTGCTGCGTCCCACTTGCTTCTGCTAGAAATGCAATCTTTAAATTAATACGTGAAGCAAAAACTTTTTACGAAAATTACTCTTATTACTTTTTTTTATTGCTTAATTGGGTGGACGAGCTCACAGCCCACCTGGTGGTTAAGTGGTTACTGGAGCCCATAGACATCTACAACGTAAATGCGTCACCCACCTTGAGATATAAGTTCTAAGGTCTCAGTATAGTTGCAACGGCTGCCCCATCCTTCAAGCCGAAACGCATTACTACTTCACGCCAGAATAGGCTGGGTAGTGGTACCTACCCGTACGGACTCACAAGAGGTCCTACCACCAATAAAAATATTAAGTTATTACAATAGTGTTATTATATTAAAGTGGATAATACAGTCTTGTTACATACATTTGTTACTGCAACGTCGATGATAAACGCAGAGTTTTTTTCAATAAGAACATATTTATATTTCAGGACCACTCGAGCTATTTACAGTCGTGGCAGGAGGGACATCAAAAGAAGTTTAATTTTGTTAGCAATCAGAAAATTAGGTTACGGCGCGTGTGATATGTTTCCTGAATTAAATTAACTTTTTATAATATTTATAAAAACTAGTGGTCCCCTGGTAGTCGAAATTCGGCTATAATTAATTGAAACTATAAGTTTGTACACTATTATGATTCTATTGTTAAATACTAATAAACTTCTGTAATCACAGATTTCGCCAAGACTACACTTTAGACAAATATTAATAAAGACAAAACAATATTCAATCTATTCTCAATTTGACCACAGACTATAAAACAATAAGAAAAGTTTGACAATAAACCAATAGTATGCAAGCGTTTGTGTGTCAAATACGTGATAGCGTGTGTAATGTTTTTATTATTGATTTAATGTATTTTTTATGCATAATTAAAAAAAATTCACATTCTGCACCCCTTCTCTATATTCTCTATAAGTGTGGGAAATTTCATACTACTCCGCTAGCGCAATTTTCGTAAAAAGGGGTACAAAGCTTTTGCTTCACGTAGTAATATATAGATTACTAGCTGACCCGGCAAACGTTGTGTTGCCTTAAATAAGATTTCTAGGGAAATTCTAGTCTAATATATAAAATTCTCAAAAACCTCATTCAACCACATAATATAGTAAGCGGCACGTAAGTTGGCAAGGTTTTGGTGTAGTGGGGGTAATGTCGCGCATAGTGTACATTGCAACAAAAAAATGGTCACTTTCATTGCCCGCATATATGTTTATTTTATTTTATTAATTTTTTTATTTGCCATAATTTATTTTTAAGCCTGTGTGTTTAAAAGAAAGTTAAAGAAAAGAGAGGAATTCGTGAAGTGTATTAGGTGTTATAAATAAAATACAATTAAAAGTTAAAAAAATTATTTAAAAAAATATACTTAATATTAAAAATTATGTGTCGCCGTCGTCACTATCATTTTCTAATAGTGCTAACCCTTGGATTAAATTTATGGTAGCACCTGAGCTGGTGGAAGGAGTTGGCTCCTCATCGTCGACATAACGAAGAGTCGCTATCGTCACTGGCGTAAATAATAAAACGCTCAGTGACTGAATCGCCTATAATTATGGTCATTGGTATTTGCAAGCAAATTTAAAACAATAACACTCTTAACAAAAACTAAATTTAAAACAATAATAACAACTCGTAACAAAAACTCAATATAAACAAAGGGTTCCTACAACTTTAGTAGGCGCATGTGTAACCGGGAGCGAACGGAACGTGGACGCGGTGCGGGAGGGGAGGGTCGACTGACTTACCAATCGCGCGCTCGGAACGGTGCTACGTCTTTCCCCGCGTCCCGCTTGATAACCAAAGAGACCTAAAAAACGACTTCTGCGCATCTAGCGACTCTTGCCAAGTTACGTGCCGACTATACCTCATTATAACAAAGAAAAAAAATAAAAAAGAAAAAATGTTTGGGGTGGACAGCCCTTATCACTTAGGGGTATGAAATATAGATAGTAGCCGATTCTCAGACCTACTGAACATACTATTGATACACAAATAAAACCAAAAAAACATGGCTGGCAAGCTACGATTGATACACAAATAAAACCAAAGAAACATGGCTGAAAAATGTATAGTGAGTAAGACAGGAGACCGGCTTCGTCCTCATCCCTACTACGTGATGTTTGCTGGATGAGTGGCGACACCTGGCGGGGATAACTGATCGATTGAATTTAAAAAAAAATCATAATTAAAGGAACTTGAAATTATAAACTCTGAATAAGAATTTATCGTACTACAATTATAATATTTGATTGCCATCTTGCAACCTTATTGCGGATCTGTGCATAGAATAAAAAAAATAAAAATCGGGATGGAAAAATAGGGGTTGATCGTATAAGAGTGAAAATCGAGAGTAATATATATATATTTTTATTCTAAGTCATGACAAAATAAAAACAAAATTCTTGCAAAAAAATTTAGTTTTTAATTAGCAAATAAAAAATAAGGGTTGATCGTAAAAGGGTGAAAATTTAGGGTTGTATGTATTTTTGTATGTTGTATCATAAAAAAATAGAAATGAAAAATTTTGTCTAAAAAATAAAATTAAAAATTTAGGGGTGGACTACCCCTAACATTTAGGGGGATGAAAAATAGATGTTGGCCGATTCTCATAGATACTGGATAAGCACAAAAAATTTCATCAAAATCGGTCAAGCCGTTTCGGAGGAGTATGGCAACGAAAACTGTGACACGAGAATTTTATATATTAGATTAGCAAAATATAGTCTGACTCTAACTGAGTCTGGCACGTGTTGGCGTGGATTGTCCTTATCCTGCCAGTTTATGTCGTGAAGCAATTGAAGACATGAGTGGATGAAGGGGTTAAGTACTATTTTTAAGATTTTTTTGTTTTTACATTGAATGAAGGTGTTATGTACCTATATTAGACCTTAAAACTCAGGATTTAAAGGCTATTTTTAGAAATTACATGTGATGAAGGAGTTATGTATTTTTTTCTTATTTTTTTCTTATTGCTTAGTTGGATGGACGAGCTCACGTCACACCTGATGTTAAGTGGTTACCGGAGCTCATAGACATCTACAACGTAAATGCTGCCACCCACATTGAGACATGAGTTGTAACGTCTCACTTTTAACGGTACAACGGCTGCCCCACCCTTCAATCCGAAACCCATTACTGCTTCACGGCAGCAATAAGCAGGGTGGTGGTACCTACCCGCGCGGACTCACAAGACGTCTTACCACCAGAAGAAAAAGTACAAGTAACAAAAGTTTGTTGTCCGTTTTCTCAAAATAAAAAAAAATGTATCATGTCCTATTCATCCACTCATGTCTTAAATTGTGAGGTCTATTCCGAAGAGAACAATCCAGTTATGCTATCACAGCTTCGATTTCGACAGCCTTAATTTACTTACTAAATTTACCGGTGGTAGGATCTCATGTGAGTCCGCATGGGTAGGTACCATCACCCCGCCTATTTCTGCCGTAAAGCAGTAATGCGTTTCGATTTGAAGGGCGCGGCCGCGGTTGTAAATATACTGAGACCTTAGAACTTATATCTCAAGGTGGGTGGCGCAATTACGTCGTAGATGTGTATGGGCTCTGAGCTCGTTCACCCATGTAAGAAAAAAAAAGGTGACATGAGTTTCACGATATCTGCTCGTGTAAAAGCTAACGGAATATCGTTCATACCTGTTGCTTCATTTGTTGTTTGTTGAGCTTGCCGAGGGCTGCTAGGGCCGCTACTTCGAAGGCGTCTTTGACCCCTTTAGCGGAAGCCCTGGCGGATGTTTCCACGTACGTTGTCGCTCCAATCTGTCTTGCCACTGATAGAGCCTGTAAAATGTATTGGGCTTTCAATTGTAGGTTTTTTTTCTCATAATTGCCGTGTAGGCAGACGCGAATCCTGCCAATGTTTTGACGACCTCGTGGACTTCGTGACCAAGTCGCTGCCTAGCGTTGGGAAGTCTTCGCAAAGCTAGTTTTTGAATAAGGACATCATGACGTGTCCTTATTCAGCGCTATGGCGCCCTGGAAGCATCGTTGAGGGAAATTCGTTTAATATCGCGTTTTTTTTATAATTATATGTTTTAATTCTCCGATGTTTCGAAGACATTTTTACATTTTTCGTGGGCACCAAGCAATTGAACCTGTTCCAAAAAACGTACAAAAAATTATTGACGAAAACTCTAAAATAGTATAAGGACAGTAAAAAACACGATTTTAAATCATAAGATTAATTTTAGTTATGTCTACGGCATGCAAAATCCGAAGAAAAGACTAATAAGACATTTTATTTGTGGTACTGCATGTTTTTTTACCGTCCCTACGTATTAATTAGAATTTGTACAGAAGAAAAAAATAAATGTAATAGTTTTAATGACAAGTCAACAATATTGCCTCAAGTTGATCTGTATGAAAGGAGTATCCCTCAATTTCGTTACGGGTCTCATTCATTTAGCGGTCTCTAAAAGCGCCGCCTCAATTAGTGAGTCGAGTTCTCATTCATAACAGAATCGGAGGAGGGCTGCTGTCAACGTTATTGTTAAATTATTCGTGGCGACTTACCCGAGAAATTTGTTAATTAATAAAAATATTTTGTGCCTATATCCACATCAAGAAATATAGGTAATAAGGTAATAAGTGCATACGCGGTAAATAGTGATTCAAAATCAGCGTAAGAAATCCAAAGGTCGAAGTTTAGGATTTTCTACCGTGTTATATATAACATGTAGTATCCGGAAATACGTTTGAAACATTAACAAATATACCGAAACTGGGAAATATCTTTACGGGGTAATAGAAGTATAGTTAAAAAACGTATTACAAGTTAAATTTCAATTATTTAGCAATATTTTCTTCTTCTAATCTCATAAAAAGCACTTTTATAGATAAAATACAAATAGAGCATTTTTGACATATTTTGGCGGGCTTTTTATTTGCATCACAGACTATATAACACAGTATGTTGTGATGCCAGTGGCTGTATGATACAATCCCTCACTACATTTAATACAGATGCGGATCTGGAATCAATGTGATTACTTCAAATTATAAATTACGTTGAATTCATATTATCACACGATTTTAGTATGCTGTTTTTATTTATTTAGACAAATCGGCACTTGGACAAATCGGGCCGATAAGATCTAATGTCATTTTAAAACTTCGATTTGGGCTTTTCATGACGTAGGCTCGTAATCGATTATGAGAACTGAATAGTATAATGTTTTTGTGGCGCACCACAGCCCTATTGGTTACGAAATAAGATATCAAATTAATTGGCACGTTTGACCGACGCGGCCGATCCGAATTGGGCCTTGTTTCAATCAACAACGATATTCGTGATACGTTTGTACGCGGCTCGGGTGCAGAATATGCGTGTTAATTGATCTATTGTTATTACTTTTATTGTTCTAATGTGTAGACGAGTTTACAGCTCATTCGGTGTTTAGCGATAACCGGAGCCAATAGATGTCATCCACGGTGACACATAAGGCACTGAGTAAAAAAATTTACTCTGTGCATATGGCCCAAACTTCGAGTAGCTTAAGGCGTAATGAATAAAAAAAAAGTGTAACACAATATATTAGTGTATTAAATTTATTTTTTACTAACTGTGCCCGCGACTTCGTCCGCTTGGGATTTAACATAACATTCCTTTACCTTATAATAATTTTAGAATTTTTCTTAAATAAATATCTACAGCCTAATTTAATCCTTATTACACCAGCTATCTGCGAGTGAAAGTCTCGTCAGAATCGATCCAGCCGTTTCAGAGAGGAACCGAAACAAACAGACAGACAAACAAAAACTGTAAAAAAGTACTTAGGTATATTACTATGTACCGTATATAGATTCATATTATGAATGTGGTAAAAGCGGTTATTTTAATATCACAAACGGCCACTTAATTTCTTTTTTTTTTTTTTCAGTGTAGGCAAACGAGCATGCATCCCACCTGATGGTTAGTGGTTACCGTCGCTTATGGACGTCAGCAATGTCAGGGGCAGATCCAAGCCACTGCCTACCGTTAAAATAGTATGACTAACCGTTAAAAATGTATAGTATTTTTTATTTATTTTTACATAGACATCTAAAACATAAATGCCGCCACCCACCTTGAGATGTGAGTTCTAAGGTCTCGTATAGTGACAATATTTACCTCTTCGCTGGTGACCGGATGTGTTTTTAGTTTGGACAGAACTGTGAGCGTTTCCTTGTCGTGTCTCAGGTCCGCTTTACATCCGCACAGAACCACAGGCGCTGACCCACCGTGGGTCCTCACCTCCTTGTACCACTGGAAGGAACGTCCATGTTATAATCTCACCGGCAAAAGTTTCTTTGTACCACTGGAAGGAACATCCATGTTATCATCTCACCATCAAAAGTTCCTCAGTCGCTTCTTAATTATTTTTTTAAATTTTTATTGCTTAGATGGATGAACGAGCTCACAGCCCACCTGGTGTTAAGCAGTTACCTGAGCCCATAGACATCTACAACGTAAATGCCGTCAGCCACCTTGAGATGTGAGTTCTAAGTTCTCAGAATAGTTACAACGCCTGCTCCGCCCTTTAAGCCGAAACGCATTACTGCTTCACGACAGAAATAAGCAAGGTGGTGGTACGTATCCGTGCGGACTCACAAGACGTCTTACCACCAGTAATTGTAATATAGTGCAGTTTATGATCCTTGTGAGCCTACAAGCTTAACGTTTAAATTCATATATAGAAAATCCGCAATATATAGCAAACAATTTTCCAGAGGTCATCGACCCCGCGTGTCAGCTGATTCTTGATTGCGTGTTCATTGAGTGCAATACCAAAAAAAAACACAAGTGAAATAAATGAAAAATATTGTACATATAGAGAGAAATAGCCTTTATTTTCGGACAGGGGGCCGAACCTCTTTCAAGGTTTCCGCGCTTAGGGGGCACATAAGTTATGTTGGACTTGACTGTCTACAGATTTTGGGAGCAGACCGCGTACCTAAGAATGTTTTTAGGGCCCTACCGCACCAAACGACTCTACCTTGCACTCTCACACCCGATCTTCGCCCGAGGTCAGAACCCGGTCAGAGTAGAACGAGAAATAGCCTTTCGTGCTTAGTGCGAGTTTTCAATTTCTCGATAGCGTAAAAGTTAACTCATGTTTGTATGGAGTTGGAATGTTTGCCTACGTTTGCCGCTAGGGGCGCTGTTCCAACTCCTTACAAATTTGAGTTAACTTTTACGGGATCGAGAAGTTAAAAAAACGCAATAAACCCACTGAACTATGTACGTTTTCAAAAACGGTTCCTTTAGAATTAATTATTTCAGGTGCAAAGACAAAACTAATCGGTACTGATTGCTTAAAGAACGGGTCAACTTACTTTGGCTGCGGCGTTGTGTAAGGTCTCAGGTTCGGCTACGTTGAAGCACAGCATAAACAGCTTCGCGTCTTGGTACGCTAAAGGTCTGACCGTGTCGTAGGACGTCGTTCCTGTGTGGCAGAAAAAACGATTAGAATGTTTTTGATTTGCGTGTTTGAGTAGGGCATACATAGCATATTATTAGATACTAGCGACCCGCCCTCGCTTCGCTTCGGAAACATTAAAACACACATGAAACCAAAAAAATAAATAAAAAAAATAAATAAAAAAGTAGCCTATGTTCATCAGGGACAATGTCGGCTTCTAATGGAAAAAGAATTTTTCAAATCGGTCCAGTAGTTTCGGAGCCTATTCGAAACAAACAAACAAACAAATCTTTCCTCTTTATAATATTAGTATAGATATAGAAAATGTTTTTTTTTATTTACAAGCGTTTACTGGCAGGGCTTCTTGTGAACGTACACGGGTAAGTACCCTGCCTATTTCTGCCGTGAAGCAGTAATGCGTTTCGGTTTTAAAGGTGAGGGCAGCTGATGTACTGTAAAAATTGAGACTTGGAACTCATCGCTCAAGGTGAGTGGCTGCATTTAAACGGTTGATGTCTGTGAGCTGATGACCACTAAGCTTAGTAGGCTCGTTCATCTATCTAACCAATAAAAAAATACATTATTTTATTCTATCATCAATAGTTTTACGCAGGCACGCGATGTAAACAATATTTTAGGTAATGTTTTTACACCTTGGGTTACATTATTGGAGTTTTAGTAAGAATTGAAAAAAAAAGATTATAGCCTATGTCACTCGGGAATACAATAGCTTCCAAACAGTAAAATATTTTTTCAAATCGGTTCAGTAGTTTCGGAGCCTATTCAATACAAACAAAGAAATCAATATCCTCTATATCAATATCCCCTATAATATTAAGTATAGAAGTATAGATTATCGCTTATCTAACACCCACGATCATGTTAAAGGGATAATGAAAAACAAACGAAGCCAAATAAAATGCTACAGAGGCTATTAGTTCAATCTTTGCGTGAAATGAAACGTAAAGTTCTAGAAATATATATTTTTTTAGATAAATAGACGGTAGTACATTTCGACGTACCTATACGTCTTAATAGTCCGCGACCAAGAAAACTAAAAAGTATTCGAAATCGGAAATAATAAACTGGAGATTAAAACGTAAAAATTATTTTAATGATATCTACGACTATTCGCATCTATTGATTTATTTTTGAGGCGTATGGTATTAACACGAACCCCCTTGAGACGAATGAGGTCGGAGTTTAGTATGCAATAAATCAAATTTAATCTCAGTTCTTGTACTTAATGCCTTTGAATCGGGCAGGGAGCACTATTTTACAATAACGTCTGGCTACTTAAGCTATAAGTAGTTCGAGAAATACTTAGGTACTTGAAATTGTAATTAATCAATTGGGAATTTGAGTTTATAGTGTACAAGCGATCCGCCCTCGCTTCGCTTCGGAAACTGTAATTTATTATTGATTTCTCCACTATTTAATGGATGTTATTATAAACATAAACCTTCCTCTTCAATCACTAAATCTATTAAAAAAAACCGCATCAAAATCCGTTGCGTAGTTTTAAAGATTTAAGCAAACATAGGGACAGACTGATATAGGGACAGAGAAAGCGACTTTGTTTTATACTATGTAGTGATAGTGTGTAACGTCAATAATAATATGCGGGTAGCAATTTGAATGAGGAGAGTCGAAGACCGGGGGCTTAATGGTATGGATGGAGAGAGCCCTATGTCCATCAGTGGACGATTGTGGGCTGATGATGATGAGTAACGACTTAGGCCTAGTTCTATATTCATTTTCGGTGATGCATAGTTGAGTTACTTTTGATAGCCACTCCTCGGAGTCTGGCTGAGCGTCATTTCATCAGACCTTATTGTCTCCCATATAGGGAAGTAGGTACATAGTCTTTGAAGTCGTCATGGCCAAAAGGATAAGACGTCCGGTGCATTCGTATCTTCCGATACAACGGTTTTAGAGTCCCACAGGCAGGTAGGTACCAATTTTTGTAATGAAATACGTACTTAACAAATGTTCACGGTTGACTTCCACGGTGAAGGAATAGCATCGTGTAATAAAAATCAAACTCGCAAAATTATAATTTGCGTTATTAGTGTTATTACTGACTAGCGACCCGCCCTCGCTTCGCTTCGGAAACATTAAAACACAAATGAAACAAACAAAAAATATAAAAAAAATTAAAAAAGTAGCCTATGTTCATCAGGGACAATGTCGGCTTCTAATGGAAAAAGAATTTTTCAAATCGGTCCAGTAGTTTCGGAGCCTATTCGAAACAAACAAACAAACAAATCTTTCCTCTTTATAATATTAGTATAGATGGTAGAACATCATTTGAGTCCGCACGGGTCGATAACTACCCTGCCTATTTCTGCCGTGAAGCAGTAATGCGTTTCCGTTCACCGAGCAATTTCGCCAGCTTGGTGGAAGGTCTTAGCTTTGTCGCTAACCAACAAAACTTCGTAAAAAATCAGTCGTACAATCAATCCCATGGCATTTTCTCATCCCTTCTCATGGATTTTTTAATGATTTTATTAGGAAGACTGTGGGCGTATTAATATAATAATATATGGCCTGCTCACGTTTTTACGACCGTCAAGAAATAAACGATATGTTCATCATTGTTTTTTTAAAGTTTCTTAACCCCACTACTAGCATCGAGAGATGTCTTCTAAAAACTTATACATTTCTGTATTTTAAACTATTCAACTGCCCTATTCTACGAAGCTATGAATAAAATATCAACAGGTTCCACATGAACAATAAAGTTTTTAGTTTTTTATTGCGTCTTTTTTTTTCTTCGATTTTACGATCACATAAAACAGTCGACGTTGCGCATTTGTAATGTAATTTCATCGCGAGAATCGTTACCCGGTTTCTGGAGTGCGTCAGCAGTTAACGGGGATGTTAGGAAATAATAATCTTGTGTTCCACTAAAAAATGCGACGTTCGTTAATACGGCAACACTCTTCACGTCACTCGCGTCACAAGCGGAGAAAGCGGTTTCATCGCAATGATTATAATTCGGGCTGTTGAATGTTCCTGTACTTTCAATGCAACTGAAGTAATTCTAATTATTTTATAGTATACTACTTCTAGTAAAACAAAACGAAAGGATTTATATGGGTTGAAATATGGTAGCATTATCAGGTAATACTGCCTGTCAGCCATTTTTAATAAATGTTAGTTGTACATTACGTTGCTGCTACTTTCAAGTGTTGCCTATTTTAGAGACCAATAAAAACTTCCACGTCATTGGTTCACTTCCAAAGAAAACGTTTCTACTAGTTTTGTTAATACCTTGACGAACTAATTTAAGAGGCAACATCAATAGACCAAGAGTTTTTGTCCGTTTTATAAGACCAAGTTTATCTATATATTAATAAGCGAAGCAAAAACTTTGTACCCCTTTTTACGAAAATTGCGCTGTCGGATGAGTATGAAAGGAGACTGAAACGATTACATACATTTTTGGGCCCGAATGTAACGTGATGAAACTAATATGAATTAATAGATTCAGATTTATCAGTACCTTGCTGAAAATTATAAAAGTTTTCTCAATCTGAGAGCCGAGTTAATAAAGATTTAGTAAAAGTTAGGTTATGTTACAATCTCTTTAAAAGAGCTGAATAATAACTTATTTAAGCATAATTAAATGTTTATTATATCCATTGGATAATATTTTAAATGTCATATTATGAATGAATATCAATGATATATGGAATATGGAATTGCTATCCCACAATTCACACAGCTATCCATAATTTCAACAGTATCCAATGCAACAATTTCAAGTCAAACGTGTGAGCGATCTTCGGTGTCCAGTGTAGAAGCAATTGTCGTACAAGGCTGGCAGAGTTGGAATCCGTAATAATAAAGCAGTGATCGTTGAAAATATAAAAACAGCCCGATAGATACACACTCAAAATGCGTCGAAGATACAAAACGAGTAGAGCAGAAAAAACCAACAAGCGCCAAAAAATAATTGTATAATCTATGAACAAACGTCATGTCAGCTTATTGTGACTTTTTGGCGGGAACGCGAGTAGTGAAGTTGTGCGATTTGTTTTATTTTGTCTATTTAGTGTTTCTTCAGGTTTATATGTGTAATAATGGTGGTTTATTAACTGTTTAATATCTGTGAAAGTGCACAAATCTGGGAAAATGAAACAAAGCTGCTGGACGTAACTTCTCGGGTTCCTCCAAAAAGTCCACTGAAAAAATCTCAGTAAATGACCACCATTTTACTGCGATTATATTTCATCCCATATCATCTCATTTCATTAAATTTCATCCCAGTTGATTAATGTCTCAAATTAATCATCTTCATTTCATTTCACTCTATATTATCATTTTTCATAAAATTAAGAATATAAAGTAAAATAAGACATGACTTAAAGGTCTTAGTTACCAGGTCATAAAATCTCTTAAAAAAAAAAAAATCAGCTTATTGTCAAAGCTGTCATCAAAAATACAATCGATTTTAATCGATTTGAAATCGATAATCATATTACTTTGTTAAGTAATAATAGACTTTTTCTTCATTTATTCGCACTTGTATACAACAAGTATAAATCGCTCATTTAATTACTTTGCATTAATTACCTAGTGAGTGCAATGTTTTTCTTTTTATAATCCTGTAATCGATTAATTAAATCGATCACACCGTTATACCGACAAAAACTAACTTTCTCATTTTTCTCCGGTCCCAGAAAGAGAATTGAGGTGATTTTTTATATTCTTATATAAAAAAATATGACAAATTTTTTAGACTACATTCCAAGTTATTACATTTTTGGCCCACGATTTTCCGTCTCCTTTCCCACACTTATAGAGAATATCGAGTAAGAGTGCATAATGCTAATTTTTTTTAATTATGCACCAAAAATTCATTAAATCAAACAAATATTACACACACTACCATGTATTTGACGCACACACACTCATATATTATTATACTCTTTTGTTTATCGTTAAAGTCTGTGGTCAAATTAAGAATGGATTTATATTATTTGTCTTTAATGTTTTTTGTCTATAGTGTAGCTTTGGCGAAATCTGTGATTAAAGAAGTATAGTCTGTGACAATAGAACCATAAATAATTGTTAAGCTTATAATTTCAATTATCTAATTACAGTCAAATCAAATCAAAAAAGTTTTATTCAACATAAATGAAAGTACATACTTGTTGAACGTCAAAAGAACTACCGCCAATTCACAATAATTAGCCTCCGTCCTGAGAAGAATTGGCAAGAAACTCAGCGGGCATGTTTTTTTTTTTTTTTTTAATGTTAGATTTTTATTTTTATTTTAAATATTTTTTTTTTTTTTTTTTATATTCAACTACAACAAAATGCCATCCTAAAGGCTGAGTTACAAAAACTTAAAATGCAAGGCATTGATAAAACGGACCCACCCCCCACAGACCCATTATTTCCTCAACCTACCTCAGTATGCAGAGTAGCCATAAAACTTCCTCCCTTCTGGCCTGATCGGCCTGCAATTTGGTTTGCTCAGGTAGAGGCACAATTCTCGATTTCAGGCATCTCCGCTGACCTGACTAAATTTAACTACGTGATTGCTCAGTTAGATACCCGAGTTATTGGGGAGGTAGAGGACATTATTCTCCAACCACCACCAGAGGACAAATATGGTCGCCTCAAATCCGAGTTGATCCGTAGGTTGTCCACGTCTGAGGAGCAACGTGTCAGGCAACTTGTCAGTGATGTTGAGTTGGGTGACCGCCGTCCTTCGCAGTTTTTACGTCATCTTAGATCATTGGCAGGAAACACCCTCACTGATGAAAATTTGCTTCGCCAGCTATGGATGCGTCGCCTCCCACAACATCTCCAAGCAATTTTGGCCGCCCAATCAGAACTCTCGCTGGACAAAGTCGCTGAGCTAGCGGACAAAATTTTGGAAGTTTCGCCTGGTATGGTCGCACCTCATTCATCTGCTGTTTTCTCAGCAAGCACGTCTGCCGTCTCACCCCCTTCGTTAGAAGATATCACACGGCGTCTGGATGAGGTCACGCGTCAGCTTGCTGTGCTTACTGCAGAGCGCGGTAGAAATAGGACCCGGGATTTCTCAAACCA